AATTGCCCAGCCCTAGTCCCCGGCCATCAAGGTTCTGCCGGCCCCCTCTCCAGCATCCCCGGCCACCAAGGATCTGCTGTTTCCAGCTGCTGTGTCCCCAACGTTGGTCCCCAGAGCTTTTCTGGTCTCCTCAGAGGTATGGAGGAGTTGGGATGCGCTGGAAAAGGTAGCTTCCATGAATCTCTAATATTCCCAGATAAATCGCCAATAGGCGGATGATAATGGAATTTACAGCTGCAAAAGTAAACTGATACAGATGCTGTAAGTTGATCTGGTACCATTACTGTAATTGTTGGTCCCGAAAAGCGACCAAGACAGGTTCGAGACGAATGGAGAAAAAGATGTTTGCTTCTGAGTTGATGTTGGAGTCAAAAACCAGTCAAGATAAGATTCACCGCTGCAGAGGGAGAACACGTCAGTACTCATGCAAGGTCAGCCGAGTTGCTTCAGTCACTGCTCAAAGTGTTCTGATTCTCGGCTTTGTCACGGCTGTATTTATTCGTTCAAGCAAGGATGGGTCACAAGTTCAAGCAGCGATAGGTCACAAGTCGGTACATTTTCGATTTGAGCAATCTTATTTGAATATATGCTTTTCTAACAGTCTTGAACAAGAAGCGGCTACTGTCTCCGCACAAAACTGGAACTTTGGACAGAAATACATTGCTCAAAGGGAGGGGTGAGTATCAGCAACGGGAACTTCAGGTTTCATCAGGTCATGTCAAAACATCAAGAAAACATCAGGTCATGGCAGGGCCATGACAGGCCAATATAGACATTTGCATTACTGTTAACATTATCCAGTGTGCCAGTGTCAACTGGTACACATTACACATTTTTGTAAGAGTGATGCTTCAAAAATAAAATGTATTTATCACAACGATCCCCCAACTCTTCAACCTGTTAGGATTTTTGACTGAACTCTCTCCTCAGTGTAAAGTCCCATCCTAAATAAAGGGCTTTGGTTAAATTAAAGTCCTTTTAGAAAATCTTTTTAATCTGCCATTAATAACCTTGCAGTGGCAATTAACCCCCCTCCCCCTCCATGAATATCACAAAAGCTCAAATAGCTCAGAGGAATGCTTATTTTCAGGCTTCACAGCTCAGGACAGACAATGTGTGCCCTTTTCAGAGGGTCTCAGCGATTGGCAGGGCCATGATCTCCTCTACCTGCAGGTCTTTTGTCATTCCCTGGAGGGGATGAGGCCAGGAGAGCTCTCTGGCGTCATGCTGCTCTTTCACCCAGTCAACTTTCATTAGCCTCCACCTTAGCATTCCTCCTATCAGAGATTCAGGCTTCTGGATGTACAACTGGGTGCACTGCCACTGCACCAAGCTGTATAAAATCTGAAGTAGGTTTAAAACTAGAATATTGAGTGGAAGCAGTAATGAGCTAATTACTACAGCTAAATAATGAGTACAATCTAATTTAAGCAGCCTAATCAGTTCATAAGTAAGTAATGATAGATTTCAACCAGCGATTTTCATGGATAATTAGGAGCTTGAGCACGAGCATTGTGCTTTTACACGTATTACAATAAATCTTCAAGAATCTTATAAGATACTAAATGTGTTGCATTTATATTTAACAATTAATTTGCTTCATTGATGTTAAATAAATAATAAGCTTTCTATTTAAATAGAATAAATTGATCTAATTCTTGTCTTCTTGTCATTTAGCTGTTATAAATAATTGTTAAATTCATATTAAATTTAAGTTCAATTAAGCCAATTTGGCTCCTAACACATTTAGATGCACATTAAATTTCATGTTCATACATCACTATTTGAAACTCTTATTGTGGGTATTTGGTTTTACAATACGTAACGGCGGTATAATTATAAACATTTAAAGTTTCCTGCGTCAGAGCTAACAGGACTCTCTCTGCCTGCGTCACATCTGGTCTGGCAGACAAAAAACATCTTTCTCACAAAAATGACTGCCAAAGATGAAATAATTTATTTATGTGCATTTTATTTAGAATTACTGAGTTCCTATTACGTTTCCCTAAATATTTGGTGAAAGAAGGTTTTAACCTGTTATTTGCTCTTTAACTCAGATTTCACATTTGGGTCAGAACTGCTGAAGTTAATGAGGGAGTTAATGGGTAGTTAGCATTAGCACTTCAGCATTCTGCAAACTCACCATTAATTGATTCCCTTGAGTTATTGATTTGTCAGTTTCAGGAATAATTTTATTTATTCCCAGTCCCAGATAAAAGCTCTGACTGAGTCCTTCAAATGGATATTTACTGGGATATTTTCACCTGACTGAAGCATATACGTGCTTTTGATAAAGCAGTCATTTTTAATTATGCTGCAGCTTAGTGGTTAGAAGCCAAACTGGATGGGATTAGAAATTCTTCAGTGAGCTTAATTTATAGATGGGCTTTTATTCCCTAGTCCAGAATATGTGCACCTACAATAAGGTCAGGATTTCCAGCTGTGTCACGATTTTGATGGTTCTACTGAACTGACTTCAATCGCTGCGTAAAATTTTATCAGTGCATCAGTTGTTTTTAACAGCGGGGAAGTGCATTGTGACGTGATTTTAGAATAAATGATCATGTATCAGATTTCCTCGGCTTCCAGTTGTCACTTTAGACATTGTTTAAGTGCTTTCCTTTTGATATGTCCTCTCAGAACCCACCATGGCTCTCTTTAGAAGCTAGACGGAAATTTCATTGGCTGTTATTAATATTCAAATTAATGTCCTCAACTCTTATTTATCTCCTCGCTGTGCGTTCCTCTTTTAAACACCTTATCTAACAGCTGACATTTCTCCTCAGCCTTCATTGGTTTCTACAGAAGTGGATTTATCACTAAATTAAACTAATCAGCTGTGTTCGCGATTGAAAACATGCAGGAAATGTGCTGGAACCAGACTGCAGCACCATGTCCCAACAGAGTGTCCTGCCAGTCTAAAGTTGCAAGTACAGTATTCTGGCTACAGGGGGTGGTTGGGGTCTGAGTGACATTTTATTAACCCTGTAAAGGGTCATTTTAACACATACTGCCTCACAAACTTAATTAAAAAATATGAAGAAGTTGCATAGTTTGGCTTTAAAATATTTTTTAATAATGATCAAATCTCAGTGTAACACACGGAATTATGATCAAGTTCCTTTGGTAGTTCCTCGGTTCAACAAATGGCAGGCTGTAATGGCACTTACACATTAGCGTTGGCACAGCCCCAAAAGGTACCGAACAGCACCGGAATATGGTTTCACACACAGGTCAGTTTTGCATTTTGGTGCAGAGGCGACTATTTTCTCAGACCTTCTCCCCAGCAGTCAGACTGGGACCGAGGTGGCACTACAGACTGATTGGCAGGCTGAAATTACGCCTACCGCCTCCAATCTCCAAGAAGAATGAGCCAGCGGGGGGTTTGGTACACTAATGTGTAAGCGTCATTGGATCCTAGCCTGGCCAGCCAGGAAGCACTGGCATGGTAACGCTCCCATTCAAATGACCCCACCCTCTGAGAATTCTGACCAAGCCAATCAGCACTGAGCAGCGTACGTCACACACAGCAACACTCAGGTTCTCATAAACTACGAAGATGGCATCTGAAGCAAAGTTTGCTGCGGTAAAACAGTCAGCTTCAGTTTAGCGTTAAGTGATTTTGTTTAGTTTCTGTTTGGTTTGATTCTATGATTTATGTTGCTGGTGCTCTAGTTATAGTTACACTTATTTTGATGTTCCATAGGTCTGTTTGTTTTATGGTTACTACCTTGTTATTAAATGTATCTTTTACTGTTTGTACTGAGTACACATCAGGATCAGGGTTAATCTGACATCTCTTGACTTACTTTACGAGGCCACATTTTCACTCTGTGTGCACAGCTCACCTCGGGAAAGGAGCTCAAAGCAGGAGAAAAAGGTGCTCAGCGTAGGTTGCTGGTGGATCAAACTAATATCCAGGAAGCTCCTAGAGGGAGCAACAGTGAGTGTAGGACTGTCTCCACGTCTGTGTCGGACTGAGTAGTAGAGATAAACTTCGTGGGGTGTTTTAACCCAATTACACACACACACACACACACACACACACACACACACACACACACACACACACACACACACACACACACACACACACCTGTTATCCCTTAGTTCCAGTTTCCTTTCATCCAGTATACATTTCTCATTTCCTATGAGTAGCATCATAACAAAACAAATCTAAATGCAAAGAATGATCTCACTGAGCATTCGAATGATTCTGTAAGGATTCCAATGCTGAAGTGAGATGTTTGGATCAATATGGATCAATGCAATGCATCAGTAGTTTGTGCTACCTCAGCAGAGATGCAGGTGATCAGTCATACTGATGGGAGAGGACCTTTAGACCTTAAATTCAATCAGTATTGGAACTGAGCTTTGTGCACAGTAATGCTATTAGGTGGTCGTCGGGTGCAGGGCGCAATTTCGTTTCAACATTTGGAAAGACAGAGACTCATCAGTGCTATAGGCCTTGCTTTATATTTACAATCAGATCATGGTGGATCTGATGGTGCTCCTGTTAGTGTGTGTGTCGGATCATCGTCTATCCCAGTCATTCCCAAAGACGGGGCCCCAACCCACAGTGGGGTCGCAAAACATTTTTTATGGGTCGCCAAATAAATTTCTGAACAATGCTGTTTTTTTTTAACCAAGACTCATACATGCAGTTCAGCATTCAGCCACAAGAGGGAGTGCGTCACTTGCTTACTGTGGTTACCGATGTATTCATAGAACAAGTCTATACTGAAACTTCGTTGCCACTTGCCACGAAGGAGAAATGGTTAATGAAAAAGAAAGACAAGGAAAAAAACCAAAATACATCACATGAACGCCAGACTACAGAGACTAAAGAACAATGCAAAATAAAGACTGCAACGCTAGTCAAAAAAGCATCATCAAAACAGGACGTCAAGGATAGTGAACGAAGCCAAAACAAAGAAGAATGCCCAGAAATTCCATCCGCCAACAATCTGAGGAGAGTGTTAGAGCCAGAGAACCAGGAGAAGAACCAGCAGCTAAGAAAAAAAATCCAGGTCGAGGTCATATAAAGATTCTTTTTCTTAAACTATGGATTTGTACATTTTTCTAAACAAAATCAAGAAGATCGACCTATGTGTGTACAATGGCATGAAAAGCTTGCAGATGAGAGTTTAAAGCCAGCCATATTAAAGCGACATTTGGAAACGCTCCACGCTGATTTGGTAAATAAACCACCGGATTACTTTCAAAGAAAGGCACAGGAGATTAAATCATCAGCTGATCTTCTTCGCAGAAATGTCACATTAAATGATAAAGCTCTGGTTGCATCCTACATGGTTTCTTACCATGTGGCCACCGAGAGAAAGCCTCACACCATTGCAGAACAACTCATCTTGCCTGCTGCAATAGTCATGGTTAGTGCAGTTATTGATGAAAAGGCTGCAGAGAAATTAAAATGCATTCCACTGAGTGACAACACAGTTTCCAGAAGGATTATTGACATTTCAAGCAACCTTGAGGAGCAGCTTATTTCAAGAATGATGACGGCAGGGGACTTTTCCATCCAGCTGAATGAAAGCACAGATGTTTCCGACTGTGCAACTTTATTGGTCTATGCGACATATGTCTGGGAAAAAGAGTTTGTAGAGGACTTTTTATGCTGTTTGAATATTCCGACCGGGATTACAGGTGAGCAGATATTTAGCGTGTTGAACTCAGCCGGCGAGGACATAGTGTGGAACCACTGTTTTATTCATTGGCTCGTGTTGGCATGCAAAGGAAGGTCTGCTGATCTCGACAAAATGCTAAAAGAAGTTATCCGTGTTGTGAACTTCATTCAGAGCAGTTCCCTGAACTGTCGGCTTTTTGATCAGCTGTGCTGCGACATGGGGGCGGAGCACACGCACCTACTGTTTCATACAGAGGTGCGCTGGCTTTCCAAGAGTATATGAACTGAGAAATGAAATCCATGCATTCCTCCTGGAGAAGAAGTCCCTCTTGCTGATCTGTTTACTGATGAGTGGGTGTTTACATTGTCATATCTGGCAGATATATTTTCATTGCTGAATGAGCTGAATTTGAAACTGCAGGGAGAGCATGACGTTTTCCACAGCTGTAAACGTGTTCTCACTTTTCAGAAGTCTCTACAATTGTGGTTTGCGCGCCTCAAAGGACCAACACCATGTCATTACATGTTAATGATGTCACTGACACACAAGTAAAACATCTTACTGAACTCATTGTAACACACATTGTAGCTCTTAATAATGGTTTTGGCCGCTATTTTCCAAAAGAGAGATTTGATAAGTTGAATGGCAAAAGGTGGATTCAAAATCCCTTCGCTTATGAAAATACAGAATCTCTGCTTGAGTTAGGATTGACTCCTGGAGAAGAAACAGAGATGTTACAACTGAGCAGTGATCCTTTGCTAAAGAAAAGACATGACAAAATTCAGAAGTAGACTGATTGCTGCACTAGATATGAGAGTTGTATTATCCTCTTGTAAACCAGACTGGAATGCAATACTGAAAAACAAGCAAGCCCATCCATCACATTAACAAGGCAAAAAAATAAAAATAAAAAAATAAAATAAAACATTTTGGTAAAAGCCATATTTATGACTTTTATCACTAAACATATGTGAAAAATATTTTCTATGCTCAAAACAATTTTTGGATATTTGCGTGTTCTGAATGTTTTATCTAAAAGTTTTGTGCAATACTCTGTTTAAAGTCCAAAGATAAAAACATTATCCTTGTTCTGAAAATGTTTTGTTTTTCAGATTGTTTCTAAATGCATTAAAAATATACATAATGTTTCAAATACGGTTTTTCATTTTTATGTTCAAATTTGAGACATTTTGAAGTTAAAAAAAAGAAGAAATGCAAAGGATAGTAAAATGCATAGAATTTTGTTTAAAGAACAGTTGCGTTTACAATGAGTAAAAACATTTTTTTATGGGGTCACAATGTTTTGTCTTTTTCAAAATGTGGGTTATCTGAAAGAAAGATTGGGAACCACTGATCTATCCCATAATACGTGAGGTCCTAAAGTCCAGGAACGACTGCTTTTCAACACTTTGAACAAGCAGGCTGCTATTACAGGCTCGCTGTAACTCCTGCAAGTGATCTACTGCAGTAGAAGTTCTTTCTGAGCTGCAGAAGAATGATGGAGACGACACCATCTAAAAGTTTGGGTGAAACAAAGATAAACTCCATAAAAACAGAAAGCAACTAGAGCAAAAAACAAGTGAAACACGTGAATTTGCCATAACCTTATTTATAATCTTCAGAAATGAAAAAACAATCCTCTGCCACACGACTCCAGTTCGTCACATGTATTGTTTCCCACCAGCGAAGGAAGGCTGCAGCTGAAAGGATGAGGACTACTTGTTAAACCCTAGAAACTCAAGTACGTCGTTATCTGCCTATAGGGTTTCAGGGAGGATGGAGATGAAAGGCTTCCAGACAGATTTCTACAAACAAATTAGTGTTGCTGCAGTCAGACGCTCTTTACGCCCTGACTCCAGCAGCAGTCCTGAATAAAATGAGCAGTAGAATATAAAAAATAATTTGTTTACAATATCCTTGTTTTAGTGTCTGCAACGCGCCTATTTAATGGCTTGTGGAATATCACTTTCACAGCTGTAGACAAGGCTGTAACCTTTCTGACACAGAGCAAGGTGTGTTCACAGTGAAGCTACAACTGGTTCTGAATTCCTCCAGGGCTTATAACACCAGCGCTTGGGACATTTAAATAGAGTAGCAATGAAAATGAAGTATTTGCCTTTATTTGTCACCTAAATGTTTCAGATCAGCACAAAAAAACTGAACAAAAAACAGCTTAAACACAAAGTGATGTTTTCAGGGGGCCTTTTTCTAAAGAAACAAAAGAACACAGACAAACATCTAAAGCACTCTCACACTTTGTTGGTTACAGCTACAATGGCAAATCTGAAAAACATGCTAGCTTAAAATATTTTGTCATGCCTCTTCTAAAATAGTGAAGCAATAAATATATAGCAGAGATTTATTAATATTTTAATGTAACATTCGGCAATGGTCAGTTTTTAGGTACAGTTTGACCATTCAACATCTGGTCAAAAAGGAGACAGGAGACTACATGTGTTCCCTTTAAATTGGCCTGCCTTCATCCCATCACCTGGAGCTCAGAGCCTCTCTGCAGCTCTGAACACAGACAACGCATTGTCAACACTAATGTTCTCTCCTCAAGGTTCAAGCTTCCCTTATCATCCTACAGGATTCTTCATTTCAGGTTCTGCTCTAGACTGGCTCTCTTCCTATCTCACTAACAGAACATTCACAGTGAAGTCAGAAACCTTCTCTTCAGACACTGCCTCTCTAACATGCGGGGTTCCACAAGGTTCAGTTCCAGGGCCTCTACTATTCGCATTCTATATTCTTCCTCTAGCTGGCATCATTCAGTCTTTCCCAGACATCTCCTACCACATCCACGCTGACGATATACAGCTCTATATGTCCTTCGTGCCACTCCAGTTGGACAGGCTGGCCACCCTTGTACTCTGCCTGACCCAGATCAGTAACTGGCTGTCCAGCAACTTTCTTGTTCTCAACACGAAGAAGACAGAGACCCTGATCTCTGCACCCCCGTAACTTCAACCAAAAATCGAGCAGGAAATTGCCTCCTTTTGCCCATCAGCCAAGGCCAACATTAGAAACCTGGGAGTTATTTTTGGTCCGGTTTTAAGTTTAGACTCACACGTCAAAATCATCTCCCGCCCTTGTTTCTTCCAACTGAGAAACATTTCAAAAGTCTGTAAACTGGTTTCTACTGCAGATCTGGAAAAAATCACCCATGCCTTTGTGTCATCACGCTTAGACTATTGCAACGCTCTTTTTACTGGTCTCAGCAAAACCTCCCTCTCACGCCTTCTAGCCATCCAAAACGCAGCAGCCAGACTCCTAACCAAATCCAGCAGACAAGCTCACATCACCCCAGTGTTACAGCTCCTCCACTGGCTCCCGGTAGAATATAGAATACAGTTTAAAGTTTTAGTGCTGACCTATAGAGCTCTTAACAACCAGGCTCCAAGCTACCCATCTGAGCTTTTATCCCCACACACCACTTCACGGAACCTCCGATCCACATCTGAAAACCTCCTGGCTGTTCCTCGAACCAGACTAAAAGCCACAGGGGACAGGGCCTTTCAGTCTATTGCCCCAGACTTTCGAACAGTCTGCCTTCAAATCTCTGTCTCTTGAAATCTGTAGAGGTCTTCAAAAACATCTTAAAGCTCACCTTTTCATCCAGGTTTTCCCCCGCTAAATATTCTAAAAGATGGCTTTGTTCTTGTTCACACCTTGACTTTGTTTTTACTCCTGATTTTGGTTACTATTGTTGTCACTGCTATTGTTTTTATGATGTTTTTATTGGTTTGAGGTATTTGCCCTAATTTTACTCATGTTGTACAGCGCTTTGCGATTTATATCTGTGAAAGGTGCTACATAAATAAACTTTACTTACTTACTTGCTTCATGCCTTTGAATATGGAACACTCGCAGCTCAGATTGGTTGCTAAATCAAAGAATGATTTCCTAAATTAAATATGAACTTCTAAAACTTATAAGCTAGATAATCATTAAATAAACATTTGTTTATTGCTACTTATACTATAATGAAATGCTGTCATTAATCTGTGATCAAGCTGGAATTGAATGTTATGTTATGATTACATTGATTGAAATATATTTCAGCATGCTAATATGACAAGGTGACCACCATTTGCACTCACACAAGATCAAAGTAAGGTTAAGTTAAACTCATGACACCTAAATAGCCCTTTACCCAGATCAGAGCCTCCGGATCAAGGAAGGTGTGTTTCTGAGTTGTCTTGATAATGTTCCTCAACTTGTCAACCCATGGTTAGCTACACAAATCATAACATGAGAACATTAAAACCAGATTACTCTGGTGATTCAGTAGTTCTAGAGAAAGCTTCAGACCGGCCATCTGAAGCAAAACCCTCTTTAACCATCAAAGCTTTTAACACGCCATCAAAATCTTTTTGCACGTGCAAAGCTGATACCTCAACAGTTCCTGCAGAACAAGCTGATATTGTTTAAACTCCTTAAGAGTCCGCCAGACGCGCGGTTCCATCCATCTGTCGTGACTCAAGACATCTCTGGACTGAAGAGTCGGTGCCACGGTATTCTGCAGCCCTTCGGTGCCAGAGGTCATCCGACCTCTCTGACCTTCGGATCCACCAAGAGGGTCTCTGAGAATGGGTGAAGTAGACACACAGATAGCGCCTGATGTCCTTTTAACTGAAAACAGCTGGACGTTTCTCGATATGTTGGAGACATTTAGCTTCTCATCCCAGAGGCTTCTTCCAGACTTTGCTTGTGGTCAGAAACAAACACACTGGTTGTGCTGCAAGTCTTTTTCTCTTTTTTTTCTCCAAAACATGTGTTTGTCTAAATGAAGGTGACTTTATTGTTCATAGAATTAAAATTCATGTTGAAGTTAAGATTATTTCATCAAGTAGGACCTGTGGTTAGCTGGCTCATGTAAAACATGAAATGTCTTGAAAGAATCGTAATCGATAGGAACCGGAATTGAAACAAGGAATTGGAATCGGAATCGTTCAAAATCAGACGATGCCCAACCCTAGTGCTGATGTTGTTGTTATGGTGACACAGCATTTCCTGGAAAAGTTCTAGGATGTTTATCAACTGCTGCCATCTCAAAACAAGCTGAAAAGCTGTTTATATGAACGCAATCCTCATTCCAATAAAAATGCGATTTGTTTCCAGTAGGAAGTCCCAAAGATTCTTAGAGTGGTTGTGGTTAGGTAGCACCTTCTCATAAACAGGGATGTTGATAAGTTATTGGCATCTTAAATATCCTTGTGGAAATTTTACAAATTATTTGTCTAGTTTGTTTACTATTAACCCCCAATGAACCTTGAAACATAATTCCATACCATGTCATGCAGAAGCACATATTGCATGAAAATATAAGATTGTGAGTCTTGTGGGATGGCAGAATCTCCATTTATCTTTGTTTTAGCTCAAACTTGTTGATCTTATTAATCTAGTCACAACTTATCTTTCTTTCTCTAAATTGAGGTTGTTCAAGAGGCCCCAAAACCTTTTTAACAACAACCAAATTAAAAGTGTGTGTGTGGCGGGTGGGGGGTGGGGTGGGGGTGGGGGGGGGATGCTGTGTCATTCAACTGCTCAGCTTCACCTGTCTCCTGCCCGGGAACAGTTGCTAGAGCAGGCGGCTGGCTGTTCCCATTTCCCGGAAGCCCAGTCGACGCTTGCAGAGCCAGTACCGTCGATAACTCCGAACTCGCTGATCTTTGAACGTGGTAGACCAGTGAATCCTGATATCCTCTGTCAGCTTACCTAGTTATGATTTTGTTACTAAGCAGGCTGGAGGTGCCTTCAATTTGGAGTTGCTCTACTGTGTTTTTCTTGCTAAAAACACCCGGTCAAACCCTGTTAGCTTCAGGTTAGCATGTAGCCAATGTCCCACAGATCTCCGACCGTGGGCATGAGCTGACATAAAAGGCCACAGTGCCCAGCTACCATTGCAGCGGTTCGAGGCTCTGCTTGTAATTTAACAGTCCCAGTCCATATTAGATCTCCACAGGCAACCAGCATGACAATATCAATACAGCCTCACACGGGAGCCAGTCGGC